CTATATATATATATATATATATATAATACAACAGTACACCTAAATATTAGATATACTATGAATATTATGAAATGGTAAAGTTTAAATGTAAAATTTTTGAACATTTAAAATATTAAGCAATGATTAAATTTGGAAATTTAGTTTGTTGGAGACAAGTGTATTTGTAAAAACGTGCATAAAATGAATGTATATGTTCATACACAAAAAAGAGACTATTTCACTGAAACATTTAAGAGACTTATTTATGGTAAAAACATAAGCTATTAAGACATACCTTTTATCTGTAACAAGTATAGAAGTATGATCACAGAAAGGTTAAAAATGTTGACCATCCCTCGGCTAAGTGAAAATGTAATATATGTGTGTAAGCTGAAGAAATGAAATATTTTTCTCTGGCACAGAGTTATGCAAAAAACCCATATAGCTTACTTTAAATAACTCTCCTTACTATACACAATCTAATCCACAGATCTAATTTCATTATTCAGTTGCTAAATGATGAGGAAGCTCTGTCTGCATCAAATATATTGTATTTCCTTTTGTGGTAAAGCCTATGGTTAAAAACCTCTGTACAAGTCTGTTGAAAATTTTGCTTTTCTAATACTAGTTTTATTATTTCACAAACTTATCATGGGTTTAGGTTGAGCTTGCAATGAACTAAATAAAAAACAATTTATTAAAACTTAACAGAAATCCAAATTTAAACTTTCAAACAACTAGAATACAATTAATAAACCCTCTGGCCAGGACGAGGTACAAATGTTCATAAACAATACAACATACATTTCAATGTTTTTAATTTCAATAAATATCAAAGGAATTAAGAAAAAGAACCAGAAGAATAAAAAACCTGATACACCAGAGAATAACACAATATTCCAAAATTAACCAACTTTCAATATCAAGGACAATACTGTGCAATAATTCTTTCTAACTACAACTTGTGAACTAATTTTCATGATCAAGAAGGGCTTTTTATTTGGTGGTTAGACCACGAGGTTACATCTCACATGACTAGCTATTACTAAATTTGAATACTGAAAGTCATGTAGGGATGATCTATGTACAACTGAATATTCCTTATAGTCTTGTTTGCATTCTTTTTGGCTCGCCATCCCTACATTATTTTCAATTTGCTAAATGTTTTTTATTACTTGTTTAACACAAGAACAACAAAAGCCAGTTTGGGTCTTCAATGTTGTCCTTGCATAGAGACCCTAGGGAAGAGTAAAAATTTAAAACCTCTCATCAATTGCTCTCTTAAACTCTTGTAACAAATTGTTGGATTCCATTACTACTAATAGCCACTCATTCCATTAGAGCCTAGCTAGTCTTTTTTAAGTTTTAAGCTCATTTCCTCTTATCTTATAGCCCACGTAATACAACACAAAGAAATCAGAGGCCTTATAATTATATTATTTATCTCCTGGGTAATCCTATATTAGTGTAAACTCAAAAAAAAAAAAGTTAACTAAGCAATTCTGCAATCATTAGGCACCTACTTACTGACCTATCAAAAATGAAAGAGAAACCCTGATTGGTCCTGATGTTTTATCTATTTCTAATTTTTCTACAAACCACCAATTGCTTAGTATCTATATGGTTCAGGTTAAATTCAAAACTTCCCATAGATTTTTCAGGTTTGTGAAATATTGCTAACATCCTCTCTTGTTAAAACAAAATAGAACATGTAAGAAATCAGCCATCTCATAGTCTTCAACAAAAATCTGGCCATAAGCATCTTTTAAGTTTAAGGGCACAATCCCTACTTTATTATCTTGCTTACCTCAAAATTTTTAAAATAATCCTTGCTTTTAGTTTTATCATTATCAACTAGCTGTTTTTCATAAGTTTTTTCAATTTCCTTTAATTACACTCCAATGATCTTAGGTCTCACTCTTTTCACTATCATCATGGAAACATTATTTCCATGGAGAAAAAAACATGTCATTCATTATTACTCATATTTTGTTTTTGAAAATGTATTCTTAGATATTTAAAATAGGTTTCATAAGGTGATATATACTATAAGGTTTATGCAAATGGGTTTTGTATTTATCTTACATCATTTATAATACAAATGATGAATTTTCTTTTGAAGTTTAACTTCAATTCAACAAACGCATGTTTTAAAGTTTCTCATGCTTCTCTCTAAAGTGTCTTCATGTCGAGTACTTATCAATGCAAATATTGTGATATTTATATGCTAGTTTTTCTGGCATGGAATGTTCATTTTAGGTCCTTTACTTCTTTAATTTCAATCATAAGTTCTCAGAACTACCGCTTTTTTACTTTCTGTACTTTGAACAATGAGTGTTCACACTGGGACTTGGAACTGCTTTTAAATTTTAGTTTTACTAATTTTTGTCAAGTACGAAACACATACAAGACCCAAAATTAGCTTAATGGTATGTAACTAAGAAAAAATCATTTTTAGGCTTTCAAAGTTACATAACTGAAATTCCTAATTTAACTGAACTACATCACATTCACAGGTAATTATATCTAAACTAATCTAAAGTTAGTGAAATAATTGCGTCCACATACATTTTCTTAGGCTCAAGTCAAAATAAATTGTATCCCTGTAGACTTAATAATAATTTTACAAGTACCACGTTAAAGCTACTGTACATTGTGATATGACAAAAGGGATGAAAAGTTCAAAGATAACTTTTATGTTGTACATAGTGTTCACTTATACGTTGTAGTACTAATAGTAATTACCTTTTTCACATAACTATCCTTCTGAAATGCATATACCATTCTTCGTACAGCTATCCCACTCCCAGTTCAATCTAATCAAAACTTTTTGATACTTTCTACATTGAGCTATCAACTAGTTTTAACAATTAAAATTGTTTAACTTTATTCTTAAACATTTGATCATATGGCTCACATGAAACTGAAGTTGCTGGATTTTGTCTGATCTGTTACAACTTCCAAGTTACATGTAATGATGTACATATCTATTAGTGTGTGGTTAATATGTCCATGTGATTTGTAAATAACTTCAATATGTCAAGACTGAAAATTTTAAGTTTCATAATTTTTCATTCATTAATTTTTGCGTATGGATTTATAGAGCATATGCATTTATATTATGTAAAATCGTTGTTAAGTTTTACTTCTACACGATTATTTAACAATCAGACAAAATTTGAGAGTATATAGAGTCCGTAGTGGCGCTAGCGTCTTGAAGCTAAGGTGTTGGTCAGCAAACTATTACAGCTTATCATATATTAACACGAATAATTCAGTGGTTGATAATTGCGCAGTTGAGTGTAAAAGTTTAAATATAGTTGCGAGTTAAAGTTCAGTAGCTCTTTATTGATTGTTTAATCTAGACTTAATTTGAAAGTTTAAGCCTTTCTCCTTCACCGTTGTATTGTCTCGTTTTCGGTTTTACTGATTACTTTGAACACACTGGGGGTTGGGACCACATTACATTCATTTAATAATGCATGTGAATGCCAACAATGTTCTGCTCTACCTTTTCATGGCTCATATGTTTTCAACCAACAACGACATTTTGATGTCAGTTTTTATCAGAAACCCACCTACACAGGACTATACACCCAATTTGATAGTTTTGTTCTGCTTAATTTGAAAGAAAACCTTGTGAAATATCTTATTGTTTAGTGCACACCATATTGTTACGTCTCTGTGTTCGTTTGTTAATTTCCCGTATAATTTCTTTCGGATGAAACTTTGGTGATACAAGTCCTTTCTTAAATAAAACTAGTTCATTCTTTCTCAATACAAGTTGCAATACACTTAATTTCTACAGTCACGCTATAATATAAACAAACGCTGTAATTCACAACGAACAATTCACGCGCTTGACTCAATTGT